CAATTGTGACATTGTGGGGCCTCATGTTATCCTGGAAGCCATGATGACACTTGGAGGCCTTGTTGAATCAAGGGGCTCTGCAGGGCCTCATGGAACCAAGCAGACCCTTCTGACATTGTGAGTCCCCATGGAACCAAGGGTCCATTGTGACACTGCAGCACCAAGGAGACCCCTGTGACACTGCAAGGCTTCATGGAAGCCAGGGACCATTGTGACACTGGAGCCCCATGGAAAGAAGAGGCCAGTGTGACACATCTGGGCCTGATGGAAGCAAGGATCCAATATGACACCACCACTGTGACACTGCAGGGTCCCATGAATCCAAGGGAACAGGGAAGAGGTCTGGTTGGCTTGGCCTGACTGGTCCAACTGCCCTTAGCATGTCGAGGGTCTCTTCTCATGTACCCCTGAAACGCTGGGGCTCTGGGCTTTCCTTCAAATGGAAAAGAACTGTTCTTCTCATTGAAACATCCATGACCAAACCATGATTCCATCTCCAAAATTTCCAGTGTCCAGGGATATTGAGGTGGGTTTATCCTTTGCTCTAAGCCATAAAAACCCCTTCTAACTAACATACCCTTTGCCTCCTTGGTTAGCCAGTAAGACTGGTTCAAAAATTATTTTCTTCCATATCAAAACTCTCTTTCATTTCTATTCCTTCTTCAGATTCTACATTTAAAAATCTTTCTGCTAAGCATACAGATGTGTGGGACTTTCTTGTCAAACTTTCATCTTTTCCAACAGTTGGTGACGAATTTTGCTTTTCCAGAGGCCTCTTTTTTCTTGATCTCTTCAGTTCAGAAATTCAGCGAGAAAAGCTGATTAACATTTGTTCAAAACACCCAAGCAAGACAAGCTCATTGGAATAATTCAAATCTTCAGTTCTTCTGCGGTTAGACAGATGTCAGAAGTGTTTTCAAAGTGAACCTACTATATTGAAAACAATGAATAGAGAATTGTTTTGTCCTGTTTAGTTTTCTTTTCCTGTTTATAGATTGGTATCAGCAGTCCTGAGTTAATATTGATCCCCAGCACCTCCTCATGCAGACTGAACACATATGAAAATCAAGACCCTTCATGGCTGACAATCAATCACACTTTGTCCCTACCCGCACCCCACCATTTCCCTCATCCAGCCCCTGGCACTGAGAGCAGCTGAGGAATGGAGTCACATCCAGGGGTGTCCCCAGGGCTCAGGATTGGGGCCAGGTCAGTGAAATCTCTTTATTGATGATGTGGATGATATCGCCAGCTGGGGCCTATGTACAAATCACAAATGGGAAGGGACTGCTCTGGAACATGCCTTGAGCTGTTTTATTTCTCAGCATCAGTCTCATTACATGGGTATGACAATAGGAAGATGCCAGCAGCTCACATCCCAAGCAGCTGACCAAGAACTTAATGTTATAACTTACTTTATAAGTTTTTTGACCAATCACAGAAAGCAAAAGCACATTGACAGCAGTTCATTCCAACCACTATAAGCACATGTACCTTTGGTTAAAACAATGCTTGCCTATTTTGAATACAATACCTGCTTGTGAGCCTTAAAACACAATGCACAGAGCTCCATTATTAAGCTTCAAACTTCCTAATATCTTGCTAGATAAACTTTTCTGTAGCTTAGGAAGGTATTCTAGACAAGCATTAATACACAGACCATTGTTCTATTTGTTCTTACTTTTCTACTTTTTAAATAATTCTTCTGCTGACCTATCTCATGGCTACTGATTACCTCTAACCACAGTTCTGCTGTCTCTGAGGCCTGCCTTGTGCAGCTTCCCCAAAACCCTCTGATTTTGTGGAGTCCCACACTGAACACAAGTTCAGCTATTTTAAACCAAATGCTCACTGATGTAGATAGTATTAGACATGGCACACTGCAAAATAGAGCTGCTATAGATTTTTTGCTGTTAGCACATGGACACAGGTGTGAGAATTTTGAAGGAATGTGTTTTATGAACCTCCTCTTTCCATTCACAGGAAACTCAAACAACTACAAGACAACATGAAGAAATTGACTCTGAATGATTTGGGCTTGGATGAATAGTTTGAGGAATGGGTAATAACTGGATGATTGAAAGATATCTTAAAGGGAGCTTTGTTATTACTAGTAGTTATTATTATATTGCTTTGTGCTATTCCAGCATAGTGAAATTTGTGACCCGCTTGGCAGAAAATACAGTGAAAAGGATTTGGGTGATGCAAGATGAAGAAGGGGAAATTGTAGCAATGTATCTAAACAACTTGGGCCACACTGTGCACCAGCCATACCACTTTTAGTTATTCTTATCAGAGCCATCTGGAATTAATCAAGGTTACTAAGACAGAAACTGTGCTAAATGAAGAATGAAAAGGCTGAGAAACAGAATACCAAGACCACAAGAACTCGATAACAGAAGGCTGTGAACCACCTGGACTGTAACCAATCACAAACTCTGAGAAGTGAGTGCAGGACACATGGACAACGCAGAGGCACCGATGAAGAAGAGTGTGATTGGTGCATGCATTAGGGTTAGAATGTATAAATAGGTGCATAATGTAAACAATAAATGGCTTCTGCTTAATCATACTGGTTAGTAGAATGGGAGTCCTGTTTTCCCACAGTGGGTGCCTGGGAAGGAGGGAGGATTCTTTTCCATAAAAAGGAAAGCACTAAGCCAGGAGCAGGAGACAAGTGACCCTTGCAGGCCTGGGGCCTCATTGCCTCCTTGTCCCTGCTCAGCAGCCTGGCAGGGGCCGCCCCATGCTCCTGCCCTTGCCATTGCACATCCCCACATGCCAGTGCCCATCCCGGCAAGAGCCCTGAGCAAGGAGGGAGGGACAGCATCTGCCTGGCCAGGGGCTGGGGCTCAGCCCTTGGCCCTTGGCATTCCTCAAACACATCCAGCTTTGCTGAGCACCAGAGACACCTTGGCCTTGTTTGTCCCCAGCTGTCATCACTGCTTCCAGTGTTCTGCTCTAACTGGAACCAGGGGACACATTCTCAGAGAGACTTATTAAACTTTTAGAAACTTTGGAGTTTCAATTTAACTTTCAATCCTTGAGAAGTTTTTTGAAAACTCTCTGAGGGACTGGATCTGATGTAAACAACACCAAATCCCTGAGGGGCTCATTAAAGTCATTCTGCTGTGTCTGTGCTGCTGAGCTTTAAAGGAACAGCTCTTCCCAGGGCCAGCTCCTCTCCCAGCCCAGCCCAGCTGAGGGCTCTGCCTGCAGGCACTGAGGGGACAGGAGCCAGGCAGAGACAGGCTGAAGGCAATCAGGATTGGGAAGACATTGAGCTGAGACTTCACTTGGGGAAACATCTTCACAGCCCTGTGCATGGTGAGTGTGTGGGTGCAAAGCAATGTCCCCTGTGCTCCTGGAGGGATCTCCTGAAGCCAGCACAACTCACAGCCTGGGGGATGTGTCAGGAGGACTCTCCCAGTTTCTCTCTGGCACAGGAGCAGGAGGAGGAGGAGGATGTGCTGCAGAGCGGGGCTGCCCTGGGCACTGTCAGAGGGACAGGGCAGGACGGCTTCTGCTGTCAGGGACGGCTGCAGGGGCTGAAGCTGGGGCTGCAGCCAGGGCTGCCCAGGGCTGTCCTGCAGAGCAGCTCCTGCAGCCCTCAGGGCTCTTGGCCAGCCCAGGGCATGTGCCACCTGCCAGGGGCAGCTCTCAGCCTGCCTGGCAGCTCCCCATGGACGCTGCAGGGGAGAAGTTGGAGGTGGAAGGAGCCACCCCCATCAGGGCAGATTCCTCCTGCTCTGGAGATGGTGCTGCATGGCCAGGGCTGCTCTCAGCTTTCTCCTCAAGGGAAGAGAAAAGGGGCTGTCAGCTTTGTCTGTGTCACTGAGACTCCTGCACTGTCACCCTGGGCATCAGCAGATGGGTCTCAGATCACCCTCAGAAAGTGCCTTCTCAGCCTCCTCTCCCTACAGACAGCAGCAGCAGCTCCTTGGCTTGCAGCATCTCTGTTTGTCTGGCCTGCCCTTAAGGCCCTGCTGCCAGGGAGATGCCCCTGGGGAGTTCCCTGTGCTGGGAGGGGTCTGCAGGGCAGAGCTGAGTCCCCAGGGCTGGGCTGGGCTCTGGCAGCATTGGCAGGGACAAGGCTTGGGTAAAGAGAAACAGCTCCCAATAGGCACAACTCCAGGCAGCAGAGAGCCAGACCAATCCTTTGCTTCCCTCCATGTCCTGCTTCATAGGGAGAGAGAGAAGAGTTGGAGAGATTGATTTTGAAACTGGAGTCTTCAAAAAAAGCCATGTTATTTTAAAGAGCCGTTTTTAATTGGTACATCCTGTACTAGAGCGAGGGGAAATGAGCAAAGGGCGCCTGTGTTGGCCCAGCAGGTCTGAGTGCACTGGGGCACAGGGAGCCCTGTTTTCCATCTGGCCTCCCCAGTGTTCAGCCTGAGAGCAATGTTAAGAACAGGACTTTTGTCCCTTCTGAAAAGCACACAGTTACTTTGTAGCCCAAAGCTACACTGAAAAAAAAAAAAAGGTAAATGAAATTTCCCCAGAGAAAGAGAAGCAATTTTGAGTGCCTGTGAAAGAAAATAGCATAGGATATACTCCAGATACTTTGTCCAAATTGTCAATGTTGTCTTTGAACAGCTCAAAATGTCCAGAATGAAGGAATGTCCAACAGCAGCTCCATCAGGCACTTCCTCTTGCTGCCATTGGCAGACACGCCGCAGCTGCAGCTCCTGCACTTCGGCCTCTTGCTGGCCATCTCCCTGGCTGCCCTCCTGGGCAACGGCCTCATCATCAGCGCCGTAGCCTGCGGCCACCACCTGCACACGCCCATGTTCTTCTTCCTGCTCAACCTGGCCCTCAGTGACCTGGGCATGATCTGCACCACTGTCCCCAAAGCCATGCACAATTCCCTCTGGGACACCAGCACCATCTCCTATTTAGGATGCGCTGCACAGGTGTTTTGCATTGCCTTTTTCATGTCAGCAGAGTTTTCTCTCCTGACCATCATGTGCTGTGACCGCTATGTGTCCATCTGCAAACCCCTGCACTATGGGACCCTCCCGGGCAGCAGAGCTTGTGCCCACATGGCAGCAGCTGCCTGGGCCAGTTCCTTTCTCCACGCTGTGCTGCACACAGCCAATACATTTTCCCTGCCCCTGTGCCACGGCAATGCCCTGGGCCAGTTCTTCTGTGAGGTGCCCCAGATCCTCAAGCTCTCCTGCTCCAAATCCTACCTCAGGGAACTTGGGCTTATTGTGCTAAGTGCTCTTCTATTTTTTGCTTGTTCTGTGTTCATTGTTTTCTCCTATGTGCAGATCTTCAGGGCTGTGCTGAGGATCCCCTCTGAGCAGGGACGGCACAAAGCCTTTTCCACCTGCCTCCCTCACCTGGCTGTGCTCTCCCTGTTCATCAGCACTGCCTATTTTGCCTACCTGAAGCCGCCCTCCATCTCCTCCCCATCCCTAGATCTGGCCCTGTCAGTTCTGTACTCGTTGGTGCCTACAGCCCTGAACCCCCTCATCTACAGCCTGAGGAACCAGGAGCTCAAGGATGCCTTGGGAAAACTGGTGACCGCAACTTCAGAAGCAATAAATTCTCTTTTCTGCTACAGAGCCTTTAGAATATAACTCTTTTCAATCTCAGCCTTTTTTTCCCTATTTGTCTATTCTTTGCTATGGTAACTTTTTCTATTTTTGTAGTGTTTCTATCAAAATACTGTATTGTTACTCTTAGCTTTTTACATGAATATCTACATTTCTTTTGAAATAAAAATACTTGCAAGTGGTCTGTTCCCTTGGTGTTTAAATAAAAACAAGTGCCTGCCTGACTTGTCTGTCCAAGGCATTTCCTGAGCCCTTTCCTGTCTCTGCACGGGCAGTGCCGGTGAGCGGAGGTGCGGGAAACGATTCCCAGCGCAGCAGCACAGCCAGGGACAATGCCCCCGCCTCTTCCCCCATCTGCTCTGCCCAACTCCACCTTGTCCTTGCCAGCCCTGCTGTGGCTGTAAGGCCGGAGCGCTCTGGCAGCTTGGTCACTGTCCTGCTGCGTGTCCCTGCTGTGGCCACAGGCAGGGCCAGGCCATGGGCACTGCTGGGACACAGCTGGGCTCCAGCACAGCAGCTCCAGCAGCAAAGGGCATCTCCTGAGGGCAGGGCAGGGAGGCTTTGCTCCCCTCCAGAGCTGCTGTCAGCAATGTGCTCCAGGAATGCCCTAGCACAGCAATGTCCAGTGCCTGGGGTGGGGGGGGAGTGTGCAGGGGGGGCTCACAGCAGTGTCCTGGCACAGCCAGAGCTCCTGGCATGGACCTGAGGCAGCAGCAGAGCAGGGCCTGGGCTGTGTCTCTGTTCTGGGACAGCCTGGGAAGGTGCCCCAGGGCAATTGTCCCACACCAGCCCCTGCAACCACCATTGCCAGCACTGGCCTCTCCCCACCTGCAGGAGGTTGTTTGTCCCTGCACGGAGGGACACCAAGTGACCAGGCCAGCAGGCCATGTTTGCTCTGTGCTGAGGAGATCGCAGCAGTACATCGTGTGTGTGTGAGTGGAGATGAACCTCAGTGAGCACAAACACCATCAGCAACACCCGGGGATGGCACAATTCCAGTGGCACAAACAGGACCTTGAGGCCGCTTCACTCTGAGAGTAACGTCCTCTGGGAAAACACCTGAATTCTTTGCTGGGTTGTGGTTAGGACTGCATAGAGAGGAATATCCCAGGCAGAGAGGCTCCAGGGAAAAATGCTCAGGGCAGCCATGGACTGCACAGGGAGACATTGGATAGAGTGAGGGTCTGTGGAGAGAAATCAGAGCTGCCTCCCTTCTGAAACAGCCCAGGGACATGGACAGGGCTGTGATGTGTTCTGGGAACTGACGTGGAACTGAGGGATGTGGAAAAGGCCTTTGGTGTCAGGGCTGTTGAGAAGGCTGGGCAGCGTCACTGTGGGACCTCTCTCAAAACCCTTGGAAAGGCCAGAGCCATCCCAGACGGTCCTGGGCACTTGGGAAAGGCAGACATGGAACACTCTGCACACAGGGCAGGGAGGGGAACTGGGAGAGTCACAGCCTGCTCAGGCTCAGCAGGGAAGGGGATGTGGCAAATCCTCCTGCAGCCATTCCAGGCACTGGCAGGACAGGGCAGGGACTGCAGAACCCACGTGGGAGGGAACAGAAGGGGATGTTGTGTGCCCAGACTTCAGCCAGACCTGGGACAGGGTCTGCTGTGGTCTCCTCAGAGCCAGACTGGAGAGAGCTGGGCTGAAGGAGTGGAACATGGGCTGGGTGGGAATTTGGCTGAACAATGAGGGTCAAATGTCATCCATGATACAGAGTCCTCTTGGTAGCCATGCACTGGTGACATCTCTCATTGACCAGCCCTTGGCCACCACTGTGGAACATTTCTAGCGTCTCTAAAATGGCATGAAATGTACTTTCAATTCCTTTATGAATGCTGCCAGATTGCAGGGAGTCTGTGACTGAACTCATCTCGTTAATGGTGACTGCAAACTGTAATTGGGCAAGGTGACTGAGTTGGGTAAATTTATCTTGCCATCAGGTGCCAAGCAAGCCACAATAAAGGGCAGAAAAAACTTATGCATCAGAAGAAAGTCAGTTCAATAGGGAAAAACCCAAACCCAAACAAAAAATAAAAACCCAAAACCCAATCAAAAAAAACCAAAGCAAGACCCACCCACAACAACACAAAATCCCCAAAAACAAACCAACCACAAAAAGAAAAAGCCACAAATAGAAAAAAATCAAATTCACAGGGTATCCCCTATCAGCAGAAAATGTTTAACCAACTTCTGGCAGGAGAGGATTATGTATGTGTAGGTGCTGTTTGGAAAGAAAAATATCTGAAAAAAGAAATTAATCTCCTAATCCCCTCATCCCCCTCCCCCCCCCCGATTTGATAACTGATCATGGTGTGACACGGAATAGAACATCCCTTGGGTCAGTCCAGCCCAGCTGTCCCATCCCTGTTCCCCAGGAACACTTACCCACCCCAGGCCCATAGGTTGGGGGAATTGCAGACACCTCGTGTGGGGCGAGCACTGAGACAAGGACAGGAGACCAGAACAAGATTTACTCTTGTCAAGGACAGTAGAACAGAACAGCTCAGCCTTGGAGAAACTGATTGAGGATGCACCTCTGGCAAACAGAAGTCACACACAATACAAGCAGGATGCCAGCACAGCTCTGCAAGGCAAACAAAACAGAAGTTATGCAAAATAATAATATTGCCGTTACTCAAAAGGAGGGGTCAAGGAAGAGCCACCTAAAAAGGGCACTGGATGTTGAAGACAAAACCCAAAGAACCATGAAAGGATTTGTGATAAGGGGTGCAACTATGTCAAATAAACTCAAAGGAAGTGGGGATAGCTCATCAATACAGAATGAATGTGTGTGATAAAAACTCTGATCATTCAGTGCTTAATGCACTCCAATGGAAGGAGGATGGCCCAAGTGACCACCATGCTGTAATAAAGAATACCTGCTTTCAAATACTCAGAACTCACTTCAGAAGTTTCTATCCAGAGGGTTTCAGTATCAGTTGTATCCTTGACTCCATTATGCCCCACAGTTTCACAATGGCTCCTTGGCTCCATGAGGCCCTGCTGTAGAACAATGGACCCTTGGTTCCATTGGGTTCCGTACTGTCAAAATGGCCTCCTTGGTTCTGCACTGCCACAATGCTCTCCTTGATTCCACGAGGCCTTGGTGTGTCACAACAGCCCCTTGGTTCCATCAACTGCCAGACTGTCACCCTGGTCTCTTGGATCTGCAGGGTCACAATGGACAATTGGTCACAAGCATCCCTGCTGTGTCACCATGAATAATTGGCTCCATGGAGCCCCACAGTGTCACAATGGCCCCGTGGCTCCACGAGGTTCCACAGCATCACCATGGTCTCCTTGGATCTGCAGTATCTCCATGGACCATTGGTTCCATGTGGCCCTGCTGTGTCACAGTGGTTCCTTGGTTCCATGAAGCCCCACTGCATAACAATGGAATGTTGTCCTTTGAGGTTCTGTACTGTCACAATGGTCTCCGTGGTTCTGGACTCTAACAATGGACCCTTGCTTCCATGAGGTTCCATGATGTCACAATGGTCTCCTTGGTTCCACAAGGTTCCATGATGTCACAATGGTCTCCTTGGTTCCACAGGGCCTTGTTTTGTCACAATAGACCCATGGTTCCATAAGCTTACATTCTGTAACTATGGTCTCCTCAAATCCACATTGGCACAATGGACAATTGGCTCCATGGGCCCTCCTGTGTCACAATAACCCCTCAGTGTCATGAGGTTCTGTGGTGTCTCAATGGTCTGCCTGGTTCAATGAGGCCCTGGAGTGTCACAATGGCTGCTTGGTTCCATGAGCTTCCATAGCATCACCAATGGCCTCCTTGTTTCTGCAGTGTCACAATGGATCCTGGCTCCACGAGGTCCCTAAATGTCAGTGGTCTCCTGGGTTCCATGTGGCCCTGCTGTGTCAACACAGCCCCTTGGTTCCATGAGTTTCTGTACTGTCAGCAACAGTTTCTTTGTTCCAATGAGGCCCTGCTGTGTCACAATGGACCCTGGGTTCCATGAAGTTCTTCAGTGTCACAATGGCCCCCTGGATCCATGAGGTCCCACAGTGTCTCCATGGTATCCTTGGATCCACGCTGCCATAATGGGCCATCGGTGCAGCCGGAATAGCAGCTAATAAAGCCCAGGGTAGGGAAGCAAAAAGGGCCTTTGCATGGAATCCACAGATGTTTAATTCAGTCGTGCGGTGAGATGTTCAGGGTCACAAGGCAGGACTCCTGAGAGGAGTCCAGGTTTCTGTATCTCCAGAGGAAGGGTCTGATCAGTGCCATGGGGGCAGTACAAAGATGGGGGCCAGTGGGGGAAAGGGGAGGGAGGGGCTGAGGGACACAGAACAAGGGGAAGGAGCCAATGGGGTCGCACAGCTTTTGAGGGAAGCTTCTTGTGTCTCTCTAACCCAGGGAATGCCTCTCAGGGTCTCCACAGCTGCAGAGTGTGAAAATGGCCTCTTGGTTCTTTTGGGCTCCCCAGGATCCCAGTGGCCCCTTGGCTGCATGAGGCCCAGCTGTGTCACACTGGCCCCTTGCTTCCATTGGGCCCCACAGTGTCACAATTTTCCCTCCCCTTAGTTCTATGAGGCCCTGCAAAGTCACAATGGACCTCTGGTTCCATGAGTTCTACATTGTTCAATGAGTCCTTAGTTCCATGGGGCCCTGTAGTGTCACAATGGTCCCTTGCTTCCATGGTGCCACACAGTGCCACAATGGCCCTTTGGCCCAACAGGGCCTCATAGTGACACAATGGACTCCTTGGTTTCATACGGACACAAATTGCCACAATGGCCCTCTGGTTTCACAAGGCCTCAAAGTGTAAAAATGGCCTCCATGGTTCCATGATGTCCTGCAGCAGAGCAATGGTCTCCTTGGTTCCACAGTGTCAGAATGGCCCCTTTGTCCCATGGAGCCCCACAGTGTCGCTCTGGTTCCCTTGATTCCATGAGGCCCAGAGGTGTCACAATGGCCCCTTGGTTCAAATGGGTTCCAAATGGCCAGATCGGTCTCCATGGTTCCATGAGGGCCCGCAACCTCCCAATGGACCCTTGGTTCCAAGGGTCCTGCAATGTCACAAGGCTGCCTTAGTTCCACGAGGCCCTGCAGTGTCGTGGAGGCCTCTTGGCTCCATGAGGCAAAGCAGAACCAGAATGGTCCCTTGGTTCCAAGGAGCACGATGGTTTCACCATGGTCCCTTTGGTTCCACAGGGCCCCTCAGTGGAACAATGGACCTTTGATTCCATGAGGTTCCTCAGTGTCTCAGTGGCCCCTTGGCTCCATGTGGCCCCACTTTGTCACAGTTCCAGGTGG